ATATCGTTACACACTTTAACCTGTACAGCTTTTACATATTGTTACACACTTTAAACTGTACAGCTTTACATATCGTTACACACTTCAACCTGCACAGCTTTTACATATCGTTACACACTTCAACCTGTACAGCTTTTACATATCGTTACACACTTCAATCTGTACAGCTTTTACATATCGTTACACACTTCAACCTGTACAGCTTTCACATATCGTTACACACTTCAATCCGCACAGTCTTTACAGCTTGTTACACACAGTTTTTACACTTTGTTGCACACTTCAACCCGTACAGTTTTTACAGCTTGTTACACACACACACACTTCAACCCGTACAGTCTTTACAGCTTGTTACACACACTTCAACTCCTACAAATTTTACACTCATCGACTCCAAAAGCTCTTAAAGCTGATTGTCTCCCGATGTCTCAGCGATAAGTCTGAGGTCTTATAACGCTAAAATCGGGTTTCGATACCCGCTGTGAGCAGAGCACAAAGAGTTCACTTTGTTGCTTTAAAACAAACAAAACAAGTTTGTTTTATTACACATTTCAAATAGCTTTTATAATTTCACACTTCTACATTTACTGTTTTTACAGTTTATTACTCAGTCAATTCGTGGAGCTTTTACACGTTAACTATTACAGCTTTCAATGAAGAGGCGGATCAGTTACTATTAAACAAGAACTGATGTTATATCATACAATACATCTAAAACGCTTTTGGCTCTGTTTTAAATACTTCACGCCCAGTTTCTGAAGAATTGTGGCAGTGTTGTGTTTCTGGGAAATAAAACAAAATGTGATTTTTGTTGGAACAATTTAAGTGTAAAAATAATGATTACGTAAACACATTGTCACGTTTTCAGTGGTCTTTCTTATCCTTAGAAGGGCTTAATTTCCAAATAAAAAGGAACTGGGTCATCAGTGGGAGGTGATGTTGGGCTTATCCATTGCTACGTGCGAGAACTTTTCGCTAATTTAACAGTAATTTAATTTATAATGAAAATTTTATGGGCTGACGTTTTCGTTTTGTTTACTTCCCGGGACGGTGACCTCTAGCGACCCGCATACAATTATTCTGTAGTTCTTAGTACTCTATACGTGAGTGGCGAATCCTTTCCGCTATCTTCTGCTATTTTCTGAAGAATCAGTCGTATCGCACTCATTGGTAAAACATAAGACACAATCTATAGCAGAACATGAGATCTGAACAAATATTTCAGACAGGAGCTTCTTGAGAAACTTTACGTTATAACAGATAGAAGTTAAAACTTACTGTTTTATCATTACGCAGTGCTGTTGATATATCCAATATACGAAAAGTAACAACGATAAGACAAAAAAAAATCATCTTTAAAATACCTTTCAGATCAGAAACAAAAAAAAATGTAGCTACAGTAGTTTCCAAAAGCATTAAT